GATGTGGCTCTAAAACATAAATTATTCTTATATTGATGGCTGGAGCATGAACCCCATAGAGCAGCTCAATGCCTGAATGCAGCTTTTATTCTAGTAAAGTCACGAGAAACAATCCCATCATTGGATTTGAATATCAAAATTATGTGAATTAGCATTTATATCACGATCAATTGTCACCAGACAATTAGTGACTCACTGCAACAATAACCTCCGCTGCATATCCAGAGCAACACAAATCGCAAAACGTCTCTTTGCTGCAGAACAAGTTTTAATGCGTTTCTTTCTATTGGCACCAGATGAAACTTATTTTCACCTCTGATTTTCTGATAAGTTGCAGTGGATTTTTCATAAACGGATTTTGTTAAAGGGTTGAGGCTGAAGATCGTTTAAAAAATAAATGAGGAAAGTTTTAGATAAATATACTTCCACAGTTTAAAAATAAACCAAACAGTAAATGGAAGACAAAATGAAATTAATGCATCTCATTCATTCACTCCAGAAGAAATAGCTTTTGTAACTTTAACTAGACCAAATCTAGAGGACATTTTTTCAATAAAAGGCTGCTTTCTCCATTTTGTGTCCTTAAGTTTTCCAAGTCAAACTGCTGTGATTTCCAGAAATTACAGTCATGGATATGCAGTTGGTAGTTTGATTGCATCTCAAACGATCATATTGTGTAAGTATAAGAATGGATGGATGTGGTTGTGGTTAAAAGCTTTCAGTGGTCAGAAAACCACAGAGTCGATCAGCCAGCAGGTTGTTCTGTTCAAGTCAAGACAGGCAAACGCTGATGAGGCGCCATTTTTACAGGAGGATGTGAAGGACGGTAAACCGCCTGGAGAACAGGCTCCACAGAAACATCCTGGTCTCTGGATCCAACTGAGCAAAACGTCACTTGGATCGCCTGAATCCATGTCAATAAACGATGAAAACTCAAACGTACGACAATCCTACCTGTCAAAAACTCTGTATTCACATTTGGACTGATTGAGAAAAGGACTGGCTTGGGAAATTACCCACTGACTCAGGAAAATTTTCAAATAAAGGTAAGAATAAAACTGAGCTTAAAAGCAGAACCAAAGCGTGTGTCAAAGGAACTAAGTTTTCCAGCCGATTACTCAGACAATATTCCACTGAAGGCAGGAGACACTTTTGACTGAAACAAATTCAATGTCTAGATGGATGGAAATATCCAACTATTGTCTCCTGCTTGGCAGAGGTCAGGGCATCAGATCCAGCAGGGGAGCCCAGACATCCCTCAGTTAATTTAATGAAAACTAAAACATTGCATAAAACAAGTGTAAGTTTTTTAAAGTGAGGACTAATTAGGTTTTACTGTGGAGTTAAACCTAATTACCTGATAGCTCTTAAAAGCATCACACTGTGGTTCTACAGCGACCCGTCGACTCAGATGATCATAAATCTCCTCCAGATCAGAACGAAACCCAAACTATTCCTTTAGTCTCCAGCAGGAGCCACATTTACAACACCATGAAGCTTAAATACTATAAATACTAATATAATGCAACTTTCTATGAGCCCTAGTTCTCCTCCTATTAAATATGGATGTAAGAGTGGCTTCAGTTTATTTATGAAGAACTGACTCGATAGAATTGACCCTTTTCAATAAATCAATATTAACTTTTAATCATTTGAGGCGCCATGATGGAAGCGAGGGAGTTTGTTATTTTGGCGTTTGTCACGGCAGAGTGGGCGGAGTTCTGGAGAGCGTGATGTCATGTGACGTCATGTGACGTCATGTGGTGTCATGTGATGCCACGTGCAAAGGGGCAATAGAAGAAATAGTTCTTTATTGCTCCATAGTGTAAAAATTCAGGGAAAGTTCAAGATTTCAACAGTAGAAAACCAAACTGTGTTCTCACTAAGAAGGACGTAAAAACAGAAAATCCTACCAAGTGCATTTTAAATAAGACAAAACTAACGTATATGTAACTTTTCAGCAAGATATCAGAGTTTTAGTGAATAATTCCTCAATATTGATGAAAAATCAGTAGTTCCATTGGAAGATTATTTAATTTTTATCATGGAAAATTTTCTTATTAGTGAAATAATCTGCCAGTTGAACTTCAATGTTTTCATCAATATTAAGGAATTATTGATTGATTTTTCTCCTGATTTGGAAGTTAATTAGGTTTTATTTCAAGTAGTGGCATATTTGCACTGGAGCAATATCACTTGGTGATATTTAGCGGTTTTGCAGTGTGCTGATTCGTTACTGTTGCCAACATCTTATCAGTCCTGAATGTTTCCTCACATGAGGCCGAAGGACTGGAAACGTCCCGGCTGACTGAATCATTCCTTCTGCATTTTAGTCCATGACAGCAGATTGAGTGGGAAAAGCAGAAGCTCTGCATTTCATTTGGATTCTTAGCTTTATATTTAAAAGTGACTCTGAGTAACTTGTTTGTTTCTTCCTGTTGTGTTTTAGACTCTGGTGAAACCCAGGGCTGGAGGATCAGTCTCTCCAGGAACAGGATTTTGAAGCCCCGCCCATATTTATTTTCACATTGGAGTCCAACGACTCCAAAACGACAGTTACTAGATCCCTCCTTTCCCACAGGAACTTTCAGTAACGGAGAAATACTTTAATGATTTAGGGGATGGGAACAGAAAACCTGCCAAACAAATCTAGTTCGTATTTTGTTTTAATGAAACGGCAGCAGTCAGGTATGAGCAACACTCAGTTCAACAGTTCTGCCTCTGCTTTGTACTTCACTCCTTTGAGTTTACATCTTTCTTTACTTTAGTATATAACAAATTAAGCAAACAGGGCAAATATAGCTGATGATGCTGCATCTTCTGCTTATGATGATGTGGAAACAAAGAACAACTTCAGTCTGATAAAACCGGCCAACAGAAATCATTGATCATCCCAACTTCCAGACAAACAGGAACTGGACTTTGCAAAAATTATCCTTATTAAAACTAGTGAAAAATATATAAAACAACAACTTATTCCAGTTTTATAAGTGAAAAAAATACTTTCTATTAATATTCCATAATAATTGACTAAAAACAAGCAGAAAAGTTATTTGTAAGTTACTTTTCTCAAGTGTACAAAAATATTTCAGACTATTTGGTAACATTTTGCAGAGCTCAGGTAGAAAGCTCATCAGAAGAGAGTAATAGAAAAGGTGCATCTAAATTAATTACAATATCTTCCAAACATTCATTTATTTTAGTAAAACAAAATAAATCAAGGAATTATTGACTTAAAACAAACTCCTGTATCTTTTTGAAAAGTTACTTCTATGTTAGTTTTTTCTTATTTCTATTATGCTGAGGTGTTTGTACTGGAAATTAGATCAAAATACTTGACATTGTTTTGTGTTTTTATGGTGCAACAAGTTCAACTGATTTTTGCTCATCAAAAAATTTAACTTTTTATGAAATTGAAAAGCTGAATACATCTTTTGATGCTGTTGCTATGAATTTTGATGACTGTTTTCTACCTGAAGCCAGCAGTTTTCTGCCTCCCTCCCTCAACTGGTTCTCATTATCTCAAGTATTTCCACCAACGTTTCCACCTGAAAACCACAAACAACAAAGGCCCAGATTTTCCAACAAGCTCAGCGTTCCTCTGATGCTGGAAACGCTCTGCATCGTTTGATCCAAGCTCCAGAATGTCAGAGCATTTTGTTTGTTTTCTTTTCGTTCTTTCAGAGAAAGCAAACTTGCAGCAGAACAACCCATGTGCTGTGACAGTCCAGCCTCTGCTGCTCAGTCAGGCCACATGTTGTTGAGTCGCTGCGAAAGCTGGCGTCTGCTTTCCGACGGCGGAGCTGAGTGTGAGATCTGACAGCGAGACGACAGGAACACGATCTGCTGACCAGCTCCAGTTTGCTCCAAGCAGCGTTTCCTCCGCTTCCCGCCTGCCGACCATTAAAGGCCGACTGCAAAACACTGAGGCCGTCATGGTGGATCCTTGGAGACAGAGACTGTCTTTCACCAGCCTGTGCTGTGACTCAAGGTCTCTTCGCTACGCTTACATCCGTCACAACTGAGTAGATTCAGAGATTTAGGTCAATATTTCCACATATTTTCTGGAAAGTTAACAAAAATGGATGGAAATTTTGACTCTTTACTGCAGCTATCTTTGCTTTTTAGATGCAATGTGGGGTAAAGTTATGCAAACTGCAAAAATAAAACTTAAGTCAAGCTTTGTTGGAGACACTTTGTGTGAAATTTAACATTTAATTATTGAGGAAATCTTACAGTAACAGATTAAAGACACTGCAAAAACACACAAGCATATCAAGTATTTTTGTCTAGTTTCTACTGCAAATATCTTATTACACTTGAATTAAGACAAAACTAATTTACAAGTAGCTTTTAGCAAAACTTTGGAGTTTGTTTCAGGTCGATGATTACCAAGCATTGAGTTAAAAAGAACCAGTTCCAATGGAACTAGAAGGTTTTCATAAATTTTATGGAAATATTTAAATGAAATAAACTCCAAAGTTTTGCTGAAAAGTTACTTGCATGTTTGTTTTGTTTTAATTCAGGTGTAGTAAGATATTTATACTAGAAACTAGAGAGAAATCTTGGTCAGATTTTGGATGCATTCTCTCCTGATCTGAATTTCAGCCAAACAAAAACCGGACTGAGAAAACAAAACTGTGATGTGTGATTGTGTCTTTTCTAGAATGGAAACATTTTCTGCTGGATTGCATCAGAAAGCAGAGTGAATTTCCTCAGCCGGTCGGTTTTAAAGTGAGCCCAGCTCAGAGACGCCGGTCTGGTGTCCATGGAAACATGTTTGAGCCGCAACAAGAAGCTTTTTGTCCTGATGGGCCGATTTTCCGGGCTTTGCAGTGACTGGTCTCCTTTTTACTCCATCTCTCTCTCTTTCTCTCTCTCTCTCTTTCTGTCTTTGTCCATCACATCAGAGCAGATTTTCCCAGGGAGCACGGAGTCCCTGCATGGGGGAGTGTTTACAGGATGTTATCTGTGTCAGTCTCTGTGGAGTGGGTTCTGGTGGAATGCTGGAACGGGATGGAGGAGGAATTTCAAAAGGAGGAGTGACGAGAGACAGAGAGAGAGAGAGAAAGAGAGAGAGACAGAGAGAGAGAGAGAGACAGAGAGTATAAATAAATCCCAGGGAAGCTGGTGCTCACAGGCGCAGTTGGACTTCTGGATAACTGGACTGCAGCCGACTGGAATATTCATCCAAAAAGGTGAGTTTTTATTGTTTATTGAGCAGAAAGAAAGAAAGAAAGAAAGAAAGAAAGAAAGAAAGAAAGAAAGA